GTAGCTTAACACATGAAACACTATCATTATTATTTCATGTAATCGTCGTGTGACGTTTATTTTAGGAAAACATTTTGAAATCATTCGTATTATGTTTTATTATTGAGTTCATAGTGACTTTCCCACTCTCGCAGTGTAACCCGAACAAATTGTACAGCAGCAGACCAAACACACCAATGGAGAAGCGCATTCGAACGCAACCCATAATTATACGATATTATTATTATTTTTTTAGAAAAAACGTAAGTGCACACGCACCATATTTAATGGCTGACTACCTTGCCCCGTTATTATTGAGTTTTTTCAGGAATACCAAACAAAAACTAGATATTACATTTACTGTGAAATTGAAAAACAAAAATGAAGGGTACCATTACAACTGTATAAACATCCTTGAATAAATGATACAAGATCTGACAGCATATCACTTTAATGACATGATATTTTTAACTTATTATTTATAAACTAGGTATTTATATGGTTTAGGTGATTTTATTGTAGAATTTACTAGAGGAATGTAGTCTGAAACGAGTACATCTTAATATCTTTGACATCATTCGGTATATAGTTTCAAAGTATTCTGGTTCTTATGATAATACAAGATCAAATTATTGAATTCAAATATTAATTGTTTTATCTCTAACACCTGAAAATCAGTTTAATACATATTATCCGTCCATTTTTAAAGTTTTTTTGTGCTTTTTGGTATCAATTAACGGTTTTTAATATTTAATATTTTTGTTAAATCTTTTTTTTTTCATTTTTGAGTAAATTAAGGACTTTTAGTATACATTATTTTCATATAATTTTTCATTCATAAATAAACAACAGTGAAAATTTGTAGACTCTTAATACCAATTTTCACAGACATTTACTGGAAGTTTTAATGCATTCAATGTAAGAGTTGATAAGTAATTACTACTTATCAACACTTACTGCAAAAGTGTTATATTTGTACATTACAATATTTGTGCATTAAATTAACGTTTATGTTAAAAATATCATTTGGGAATTTTTAGATAATTTCTTACAGCGTCGATTAATCGGAATATTCAAGAAAGAGAAAACAAAAGGGACTAGAAATTATGTTTTAATTATTTTATAACCTTAAAAAAATATTTATAAACATTTTTTTTTTTTTAATTGCTAAATGTTTAATTAAAAAAAATAATTTCACGTAAAACTTTTATCTATCTTTTTAAAAAAGTATTCATAAACATAACAACTAAGTCAAATTTATCTAAGAATTATGTTTTTGACTTTATGCATACATATGAAAACGACAGTTTTTAATTTAATTTATTTTATACATAAAAAATCAGTTCAATTGAAAAGTTAATATTTAAGAATGATAAATCTCTAAACTTTAATGATCTTGTCTTGGCTCACATTCACCTACTGCTTATTACTATTATTTTTTGAAAATGTTTTGCTTTGAAAAAATTAGATGGATTACACAATTAAAATTTTTGAAGATTCATAAAAATTATCATCAAGTAAAACCTTGATTACTAGCTGAAAATCTCAATTCACTATTACTATAATTAGTATTTTACAATTACTAAAATATTTAATTACTGAGATTATATATTTATTTTTAGCTTCGATGCGAAGCTGAGAAGGTATTAATTTTTTATTTATTTATAAAACGATTTTATGGTATTAGTACATATATTTAATACTTTAATCTAGGAGAACAACTTTGATATGTTGTGTAAATATTATAGTAACAACTTAATGATAGTAATAACAGCTGTAGAAATTACTAGAAAGATTATATCTATTTTTAGATGTATTTCGATTACTTTTTATAATATAATGTTATTATTAACCATTGGTGTGCATCTATGGTTAACCTTAATAATATTATTATTAATAATAAATTAAGTTTACCGTAATGTAAAAAACTTAAATACTAGGTACTATTTTTATCGTGTAATTACTGTCTTCATAGTTCTATCGTACGTATGACATTAAATATCATTGAGAAGTGCTTTCAAAATAGTTAAAATAACCAACAGATGTGTTTTAATAAAACAAGAGATTCCTTAAGTTTGTAACAGAAGTTACATTTGTCGTTTCATCTAACTTCCATTATCAATTTTATGAACCTAAATTTTGTTTTAATAATAAATAGTTGATCTATTATATGTGTATAAACACCATAGATAGTAAATTTTGATTGGATAAAATTTAAATTTTATATCTAAATTACCGTTACTTAAATTCAAGCCGAAGGAATATTATAAAATTTCCGTTAAAAAATAAAACATAAATGTTCAAATAAAAAGTCGTCCACTTTTCAGTGATATTTAATTAAATTGGTCGTGTTGTGTGCATGCAAATTATATGACTGTTCGATAAAACCTTCCCACTTGAAAGTTTCCCTTAGGATTTCTAAATAAAAAACTGTCATTTATTCAATCGACCTGTATGCACAAGAGTGTATTTATGGGCACACGACTACTGTTAATATTAGCGAAACAAAAAGCGAATGTGACAAAAGGGTTTGCCGATGTCCACGTTCTTTGTGGTATTGTATATTAATAATGCATAGTATACAGTAATAAGTAGCGAATCGGACTTAATGTGCGAGAGAAGATCAAGCGACGGGTAAAACTGGAGCCGAAAAGTTGTGGACCAAAGGTGGTGTCCAGCGGTCCGTGTGCGGTTATTTTTTTATGCCATCGCTGACCTGGAAATTACAGCAATAGAGAAAAAGATGTATTGAATGAGAGAGAGAAGCGACGGTGGCGGTGGTGAATAATTTATTAAGCGTGACGTCGAGTGGACATTATGTACAGCGTTTCTCTTTCTTGTGTCGCCGTCCCTTCTCGACCGCCTGTACGTTATATTGCGGTCGCCGCTTGTTCCTCGGTATGTATACCTCTCGGAGTTGTCGCTATTGTGCGTGTGTATGTATACACTTATGCACGCACCGGACACACATTGTGCGCAAGCAACGACGTCCCCCTTCACTAATAAGGTCCGTCGCAAGTGTATTTACATAAAGACACTGACTCGCATACCTCCCGATTTAAATAACACTCCCATATTCCCATAGTACCGCCGGCGTGTCCACTGTTTTCGCATTATTCACTCGTAAATAGGGTACTAAAATGAGAATGACCGGCACCGCCGCGTATAGAACAGTCCGGCGACAAGAAACCGTAGTGTGCACAATTATGTACATGCATGACCTTTCTTTGGTGTTGTACGTATATGCGAGTCGAAAGTATAAATTACTACTGTCCGGCGACGTGCCTATTGTAAATCAACCAAAAGCGTTTTAATTAAAAATCCCGTCTTTATTGTAAACGCATGTGGGTCGACAACGTCCCAAGATGTGGTCCATTTAGACTGCTGAAATAACTTTTTTTCGAGGTGACAACATTGCGCATGTAGTTATTTCCAATTATATTGTATGTGTTTTTATAAATTCAAATGCTTTCAATGCGAATAAAGAAATAGTTTTACAGAAGCAATACAAAATCAAAATAGGTAAATCGTTATTTGTACGTCAGAGTTGAATTATCCCAATTTTTTTTTTTTTTGTAAATGAGGTGAGGTTATTTGTCAAAAAAATCCGACTTGGGAAGTTTACCTCTGGCGACGGATTTGTGCGAAAGTTCGCTCTACAAGATTTATATTAGTTTTATTTTAAATATTTCAATAATTTGTCTTTTTACTTGCAGCTGTTTTAGAAAGGGTTCTCATTTTAATACGATCTTATTTTGTACGTTAAACCATAGCGCGGAAACTCCCTTTTTGACTTTGGCGCCAAGTTAATTTCTTTAAAAATAATTTAAAGGAACTCCTCTTTATTTGATCCTATTTTTTGTCCAATTAAAACATTCAGTGTATGCTAGAGGAACGCTATATTTAACTGCAGAACTAATGGTGCGTCAGTGGATTTACTTTTTTCCTAACGAAACATCGTGATAAACATGATTTATTTTTAAAATTAAACTGCGTTAAAATGAGTTTACTAATATATGCCGAGTCGATAAAAAATAAGTGAACCGCATCCGCTCAAAATTCACACGTTGAATACGCGTTATAATTTTTAAGCGACTCGTACGGTCGAAGGCCGTAACAGGTCGTAAGCGGCTTGCACACGATTTTCGTTCATCAATCTCGACGCGGCGGCGGCAATGTGTTCTCACAGAATCCGAGAAATCGTTTCCGATCGTGTAACGTATAGAAGCCAGCCGGCAATTAAACACAGGACGAGTCGATCCAGAGACTACGGGCTGCATAGTGTCTCACAAAGAATTTAATTATAACGAATTACGGTTTTGTCAGACTGATTTTTATTATTATTTTTTTTCTCCTGAAAGATTATTTAATAGCTGGCCAGCACACGGTCTGCCGGCCGGGCGGGTTGAACTAAAAATCAAACGGTACGCCCACGAAATTTGTCTAAGTCACCTGACTGGATAGTTCGATGGAACGCCTACGGCAATTTATCCCGATTGACGTGTTTCATTTTTTTATTATACATTTCGATTTACTCGTTTTTTCCTCATATATTACGTGAGCGGCTCCAGTTTTGTAACCGTCGTGTCCGGACAAGGTTGGCGTATGACCTCCACAAGATTCTCACCGTCAGTATTAATAACTTATAGTGATAGTCAACAGTAATGATAAATAATATTTCATTGCGCAAAACTATCCAATTACTGAAACTTTGTGCGGAGTAGACGGTGTTGTTTTTACTTGATTGATTTGATTTAATATTATTTGCTAAAAATATTTTGCTGAAATAGGTTTTTTAGGTAGAGCCGGCATATCACTACGATTCGGCTTGTACCGGAATGAAAAATAATATCTTGAAGAATTAATAATAATACTGAAGACGCCTTTTTATCAACTACAATGAATTTTTATATTAATTTAATAAAATATTTCTTTAACATTGGCACATAATTTTCATAAATTGTAATAAATAATTAATTTTAAGTTGATATAAAAATAAAATAGGGCAATTATTTTTTCAGGAGTCCGTAAAAAGAATTTACTTGATGAAATGCGTAAGTGATCACTTGTTTTATTTACTTTTGTTTTATTTACACTGAAATGTTCGAGTTCAAATATCGAGACGCACCAAGTTCATTTTCTTTATGGACATTGCACTGAGATTTCTTTACTGACAAAAATCTTATCAGATATATATTATAATTTTTCAAACGACGTTTAAAAAAAAACGTACTTTAAATTAGTCATGAACACAATGACTTACCGGATGTAAAGTTTAAGAGTTAAAAATAAATACAACGTGTCGTTTTGTGGTGTTTAGACATTTTGCACGTATAAGAACTAGATAGATAGTGTTAACGGATATAACTTGATGTGTGTGTTATGTATTTATTTTCACTAGAGGTAAAAAGTAAAATAAATAGAAGTTCGGAGCTAAAAAGATACATTCGACGTTCAACGTGTCGAGATAACAATATTATTTTCAGTTGAAAAAAAACAACGTGTACGTACACATAATAATAATAACAACACGCATGCACTTCCCCTCGGTGCCCTTTTTTCTAACCCTGCGAGGCGGTGGCGGTACCGTAGGAGTGTCGCGGTTATAGATAAGAGGAGACTGCGGTGGAGTTAAGTTTCCTTCCGATTCATTTCATTCCGTTTTTGCCCCCGGTCGAGATAAAACGGCAGTTGCAAAAAACAGTTCTCGGTCGAAACCCAGCGGCGGCATCGTCTTTCCGCTAATAAACCCAATGCAATCAACACACTTCCTTTCATCCATTTCCACAGTCCCTAATTCCGTCGATCAAAGAAACGTTGAATTACGAGATTAAAAAAAAAATTATTAATATCCCTACAAAGATGATAAAATTGGACCGTGTATCGTTCGCGTGAACCGATCGAGAACTCGACTAGAGTGCATGGCTTTTTTTCTTATTTGGCTTATTGTTGTTGTGAATCGATCGACACGAACGCCTCTTGGAACTTTTTTAGATATATTTAGTACATCACTATATATAGATCTGGCTGGCGGCCGGTGTAAACTCAAGAGTAATATAATTATGGCCAAGACTTGCGGTGAAAAATGATGCACTGACGTCTATACGCGCTCGTCTCGCACTTACGATAATCACGGCCCAGTAATCCTTTCGGCGTCATTGTCTCCCATCTCTAAAATATAATATGATAATACATTATTTTTATAGAGACGGAAAGTAAAAGACATTAAACTGGTTGGGGGGGTACATGATGTTCGGTACTCATTTCGTTATTTGTATGCACCGTGTGATCATTTTGTAACGTTACTTATTGAATACAGAGTTAAATTCTTTATTTTGAGTAAACCGTTATGGTAAAACGCGGAATAATATTTGAATTATTTAGTCGTAAAACGTATTAAAAAGTGCACGGAACAACAATATGTTGGTTTATGAAATGATTTTGTTTACAAACAAATAAGAATGACGTTTGAAAACCAAACGACAAAAGGATTCAAATATGTTTTATTGCGTACGGATAATTTTTAATCCGTATACCAATATTTTAAATGCATTAATTTTTTTTCGCGCGCGTACATTTTATATAATTCATTATTTTTTATGTCCCGCAGGAACATATTACCGGAATGACGGCGGTGTAGGATTGACGAAGGGTAGGAACGCATAGGGTTTTGCATAAGCGCCGGCGAGGGGGTACAGCGGCAGTGGGGTAGCGACAGCCGCAGGGAACAAATTGAAAACCGCTTAGTGTTTTAATTTAAATAGTGACGACACGTTGCGCTCAGCACATCCGAATATAATAATTTGTGCATGTTTGCCTAAAACACCCGTTCACAAAATTCTGTGGATAACGTGCGTTATGTGATGTGTGCCCCCTTTTTGTGCTCGTCTCACCCGCGACTTTGCGTGTGTCACCCCACCCACTCGGTCAAATTACATTAGCTTTAAATAATACCTAATAATACGCGTGGAGTGATGGCCATCCAACCGGAAACGTTTTGCGTGGACGTCTCTCTGACGATTGTCCGGAGGGTGTTGTTGTCCATGTACAACAATATAATGTCATTATTATGAAATATTTCCAAGGTATTTTTTTATTGTTTAATTGGACTTTCTATTTTCAACTTGTTGGCAAACACATTTTTTGTAGGCAATTATTTTTATACAAGTTTTTAGTCGAACGAACCTTTAGTAAAAAATCAATTCGGATGATTACTAAATTTTTTAACAATATTATGTTTTTGTTTATGCTGTTAAAAAAAAAATTGTTTTAATATCGTCGTTGTTTACATTCTGGCATAATAAAAATCAATTAACTGTAGTAATTTCATGATAGAATTTTGCAAGTAACGAGCTTTAAACGATTGCTTTATTTTTCTACCGAATATTTACAAAAATATGGTAAATATTTTTTTATACCCAAGCAATATGACATTATTGAATACTGGATTTATTTGTCATGAATATACTATAAACTCAGTGGTACTATTTAAAGTAGAAATATTTAACTTATTTGTGAAAAGGTACGGGTAGTTCTAACGTTTATCTCGCTGAAGTTGAAATTACATCTGCAATTTGCCCGAAAAAAAAAACAACGAAGAAAAAAGGTATTTTATTTTCTCTTGCAGCTCACGGTGAAATATTTGTGCTGAATTTTCAATACGTTGATTTTTTTGTTTTTGGCAAATATGAGAGTTTAAAATTGAATACAAACAAAAAGTGTGCATTGAAATGTCTTCCTGTGTATATATGCGTATATAAATGTATTTATACACGACGTACGGGCTGCTGTGAGACGGTTGACACGGTGTAGAAGCTTTTAGAGTTTGTCGAAAACTCGTCGCCGCAATTCCTATGGGAGTACCGTCGTCGGTTTCAAAAGAGTCTCGAGTGGGCGGTTGGGACGGGTGAAGTACGCGTATTGTAGCGTTGAGGTGTCTGCGGTAACCGTTGAGATGGTTCCAAGTGCAAGGGCTTTTGGCACGCCGGCGGGACCGCGCGTATGAGACCTGCGATAGGGTGAAGAAAGTGAAGGTAAAGGGTCCCCGTGGAAATAATCGACATTTCGGGACAGTCGTCGTGGTCCTACTGCTTTTTATTCATAAAACCATTGGCGTTGACCTCCTATTTAACCCGTTTATTTATTCACTCAATGCACGCTTAAAACCGCACTAACTACGTTACACAATGTATGTATTCCACAACCTTAGTTATTCAACTTCTGTAAGAGAAAAAAAATGATTTTTCAACTCCGACGGCGATGTAAATTCTAAATTGTAAACGAGCAAGTTTAAAAAAATAATAAACATTAAGATAAAACGGTAAAAATTCACAGTGATTTAATTCATCTCAGCTCACCGCCAAAATATCCAATTGGATTCACGTCGCCACTTTTGTGCTTTAATTGAATAATCCTCTCGCGTATTCCGTACTGCTGCAACGTTATCAATTGCAGTAACCACGTGCTGTCGAGATTATATATCATGTTTATTGTGCGTGCTATCTGAACGCGCATTTATTAGCCGTTTTGAATCCCCTGTACACGTTTAACTGTACATAAATATACATGTATATTTTTACGTGTATATATTTTTTGTCAGTTAAGATACGCGACGAAATGAACCGCCGATGAAAGAGGGTGCGAAGTGTTTACTGCTCCGGCAGATTCGTATCATTACGACGACGTTCTTTATGCTTTTTTTCAGCAGAACAAAACAAATCGCTCGTCGATAAAAAATAATACCGTAAATTCGTTGTGCAGTCGTCGCGGGGGAAAAAAATAGTGCTACTCGAAAGCTGTACGCGTTCTAATAATATAATACTCGTTGACAGTTTTAAAACGGTACTGTTTATAACGTCGTATTAAATAATATCATCGAAAACCGTTCCACTCTGAAGGAACCGCAGCCACAGGAGTCTATCTGCGCGATTTTACCGTTTGTTTTCTCCTTTTTTTGGAAAACGCCCCCGGAGAAGCTTTCGAGTTTCGGCAGCTGTCGAACCGCTGTTAGTAAAGCGGAAAAACTAGTCGACTCGCTTTCGGCCGAACCACAAGTGCGCATACATTACGTACCGCAGAGCGGCCACCCTCTACCGCATTATGTATAAGCGTATGGAACGTTGGAGGCAGCGACCGTTTTGTGGATTTCCCCAACACGACGGCGTTCGCCGAGGGAAGTATGACGTCACATTAGCATATTTTAATAATAACTTATACCTCCGTTGGCGGCCAAGAACCGACGGGTGGCGATGTTTAGTCTAACTTTTGTTCAGTAACATGTTGTTCGTATAGGTGAGTCGTGTACAGAAACTAAACGTACGTTTTCTTTGATTTTCCCGTCGACGTTACTACGTGACATCGGCTGAAAACCGTTCGCACTGGCTCATTAGCAGCCGCGCACGACTGAGAGAGACTGGACGTCCGAAGGGAGCGGTTAAGCGATACAACCGTACCGACGGGATTCGTGCATCCGCGACGGCGGCTCTCGAAAAACAACCGCCGCACGTCTAATTAACCAACGTTCACATGTTCCACGTGGCAATATTGTTATAACGTCCTTTTTTTAAGGGGGACGTGCCATGCACGTTTTTACGTTCGGTTGAACATAACGAGGTGGACACCGCAATCCGACTGCCATGGGGGTGTTTTTAAAGCGGACGAGGGTTGTCGCGGACGCCGTTTGATTGACAGCTCCGACACGAAGCCAGGAAACGAACCAATGGCGGCGGGACACGAATACTGATGACGAACACAGCCATGATACTTTCGTACGTGTCACGACAACAAGTATTATGGAAAACGTCATGGTCGTTTTTCCCCAAACGTGTTCGCTTACTATTATAATGACACGTTAAGATTTCAATCTGGAGACACTGCAGAAACTCCAAAAATTCTAAACGCCTGTTCTCAGAAACGTGTAAGTATTGGGGCAGTATCTCTAATATTATGGCGACCAAATATATTTCACGTGTACCCGTTGGCCACACGCGAGGAAAATAAAATAAAAATGGATGTTTTAACACACTGAAAAACACCCGGTTGTTAATAAAACACATATTGATTAATAAACACATCAATGCGTTTTTTTTAATACTCATAAAAACACTCTTAATGTATACCGCCGTATTCGTTGTGTTCATTCAGTGTCAGTTATAATGTTCTGATGACTGTATCGGTTAACGAAGGGATAATAAACTAACGAAGATTTGTGGTGGTGTATAACTTGCGGTAAGTGAATAACAACATTAATACAACGTGAGCACGTTCATTGCTTTTTGTCGATCCCTTTTAGAGATCTCCACCGAGAAAAAGGAGCCCAATATATACATATATATTCACGTTACACTAACGGTAAATTTCTCCGTGTATTGGTTGGCGACAAGTATAAACGGTCTCTCATTGAAAACGTCAAAAGTTTATCGCGCGAGGTCTTTGGCTGGATATTTTGATAAATTACCGCTCGTGTAACAACGTTGTTGTGCGTACATAATAAAGAGACCCTCCCGTCATTGCGTCGCACTGAAACGCTCACAGCCCCGACAGCAATAAAACTGGCCTTTACGTGTGTATAACGCACGGGGCCTATATAATCGCCTTTCGCGATACCGAATTCGGTCCAGTCAATGAAATAATAAATACGTATACGTATCTGTCGTGTACGCTCTCGTTTTTTGCAACATCTGCAAATAAAGACAACAGGATTGTTTTTGATTTTTTTTTTTTGCCGACCAAGGAAGCGTAAATTCTTTTGTGTAGGCTATTCCGGCGCGATGTTGCCGAACGCAAAAGATTACGAGAGAAATATGCAGAAAAAGTTTTTTTTTTTTCAAACAAAAATCGGGCGCGCCAAGGGGAACGAGAAAGAAAGAAAATCAATGTAATATCATTAATCAAAAATTCTTTTACCGGTCCGTAAATATGTATATACGTACACTTAGAAAGGGCCTGCGCGAGCGGCAACGCGATTCTGCATGGGGGGAAAATGTGTATAAAAATAAAGCAACTTTTCTTAACTTTATGTAGTGTCGGGGGAAAGGGTGGGATGACTTTCGGATGTTTTATATTGGAAAAGAAATGTTTGTTCACCAGACAGAAACAAAAATTCTTTACCGTTCCTCGTCCCGCGCACACCTTCTCTTCCCACACCAACTCGGTGCCGGCTGACGAATGAAACCCAAAAACGGAACCCCAATAAATGATGTCACTAACCCCTCGTCCCGCATCCGTGCGGCGCCCGCGTTCGTATAAATAATGTCACACACGCGCACCTACATGGATATGATATTTTGTGTGCGTATAAATGCGAGTGTTCGTATGTGCGTAAGGGTCTGGACGACTTATTGTCATCCAGTCAAACTGTCGTTGCGTCTGTTGAGCTGACGGCGGCGAACGATATTAAATTTTACCTGGCGACATATGGCCATTACGGAATATATGAGATTTGACGATGACTGATGAACGGCTCGTCCGCGTCCCCATTTACTTGCGTTCGTCTATAGATATACAGACGTGTACGCGCATATTGGACTGCACACCGACTCGCGTTTATATGTATACACACGACGACGAATGTTCTTCTCTATGTGGTCGCGCCGTACCGAAAGTATAATATGCTGCGCCAACAGCGGGGAAGCCTTTGGAAAATCAAATTCCGCCCCGTGTCGCTCATCGCCGACGGAGTCGTGCTGCTTGCGCTCTTTCCGCCCATGTGATATTATTATTATTATAGATCTAAGCCGCTCGGTGTCATTTGAATTCTCATTATTAAAATATCTCGGCCACGTCCATTGGGAGTTTCCGACGGGAATTCCCGTCGTAGGTATTTGGCGAATTTTGACGAGCCCCCGAGAGCACATGTGCGAAGCGTTTCGGCGGAGCGCGTAGAAGAAATCTGCACGTTCGACATAATGAATGATAAATGTCTGCGATTACTCTTCCGCCTTGAAACAACAACGATATGTGTTGTCGTAGTAAAGTGACAACAATACAGTGAAATAAACCGTCTCATCGCAGACAGTTTTGTCCGAGTTGATAAATAAACGAACAAAAAATAATCGGAAGAAAAATAAAACAGGTTTTTGCGTAAATGATTAATTTATTTTGACTTTTGAGTCTTAAATAACAATTTTTTTTCTTCGAAAGACACAGAGTAATTTTGTATTTTTTTTTCGAGATGTAATTGCAGTAAAAAAACAGTGGACACTTGTGTGACTTGCACATTCCGAGACACGTGAATTGCACTGCAGTGTACGCAGCGGAAACGGCGTATTTAAGACTGAACTCGCTTGTATGATGTTCCGCCAAACTGATAAAGCGCAACGGTTTTCTGTCCAAATGCAATTCTAATATACTCACTTGACCGATGGAAACAAATGCGCGGCCGATGTTTTTTTGTGTCGGTGTCGGCTGCTTCGTCATCGGGTCGAAATTTATCCCCCGTACTCGTTCGGTCATTAGGCCAACTACACAGAAAAACCAATAAGTTTTTGTCTTTTTTTTTTTATTTTCGCCATATATTTCTCGTCTTATTAATGTCGTTTGTCAGACGCGGTGGCGTGAAAACAACGTGCCACTTATACGTTACATTAACCCTGTCTCTTATTGTAATTAACTTGCGGCCGTTGCATTGCCGGTACTACCAATGCCGCCAGTCATTATAATTTTGTGTTTGCGCGAACTTTTTTAATGTTCATTTTGTTTCCGCAGAAAACGGTTTGCCCAGAAGACTGCGGACTGCTTATACCAACACCCAACTGCTGGAACTCGAAAAAGAATTCCATTTCAGCAAATACTTGTGTCGTCCGCGAAGGATCGAAATCGCTGCATCTCTGGACCTCACCGAAAGACAGGTAAAAAATACGTATTCGTTTATTTTGCTCTAGTCGTTACGTTGTTGTTTTCTATTGGACGACGTTCGTCAACACATCTCGACCTTGTGCACGCCGATATAAATATAAAAAACAATGAATTAGTATGATATTTGAACATAACGAGACTAGGAAACGACAGTAGCACCTATATAATACACATTAAAACGCGTTATCTCTATTTTCGGACATCTGCGCGTTTAATTTCGATCTACACGGTAGACTGACGCGTATCGTTCAAACGCATCAACTTTTTATATATCATATTCATTAGACATATTTAAATGGCATTAAATTATAGGTCTTGAAAAAGTGCGTTCACCTTGAGAGCGTTACACGACTATTATTTTACAAACGGACGTTCTGCGTTCGAAACACACCAGATCGGCTCCACGACAAGGCTGTTCCCTCGAAAACACTGGTAGTCTCATCTATTCCGTTATAGAAAATAAAAAATACAATAAAGTTTTACCTGCCTAATTTTCACAGTGGCAACACAAATGATGTGACTGCGTCGCGCGGGAAACTGCGTCGACAATCGCGAGTTACACGATTCGCCCTGGTAAATTCTTTTAGGCTCGACTGGCAAATATTAATCCTGACACGAGTACAAAGATTTCTAGTTCCTAGTTGAATTATAAAAATGTCGTCACACAGTGCGGGTTAAAAAAAAAATCCCACAAACGTCTTCGTTACAATCCAATTGTCTCGAGTGACGACAGCCGGATAAAACGAGTGTGTTCAGGCCACATCCTTTGACATTCAACGTTTGGGTTTCGAACGAAAATAAAACTGTTCACAACTATCCGACTGCGCACAACGCGCAACTATGTGAAAATAATTAAGCATAAAATGATATAATTTTTTGGAACGGTCGGTAACAGTTCTGTAGAAGGCACGGCGGAAACGGGCACAGCATTAACCCTGCAAAATGCCTTCCCCGCCACGTCTAGATACGCTTTAGTCAAATATTATATACATGTTTGTCCTATTAAATTGTAATTTGGAGGAAAAATCGTGTCATGCTCCCATGGTCGTACAATACTATTTTATGCATGCAGACCGTGCGGCATTCGTTTATATTATTATTGTAAAATAATAACAATGGGAACTGCCTTTTTTTTTTTTTTTAACGCAACGATTTCTATATGTACTTTTTTTTTCGTTTTACCGAGGGAACGTATCTCATGCACTGAGTACACTATAAAAAAAAAATGTATACAGATATTTTTGTTCTTTTGTGTTGCAGGTGAAGGTGTGGTTTCAGAACAGGCGAATGAAACATAAACGTCAGACGATCAATAAGTCTGGAGATGACGGCGACGACAAGGACTCGCAGAGTTCCGGCACGACGAGCAAACAGGGCAAGTCTGGTGGCGGCGACAAGCATTGCCAAGACGACAAGAAGAGTTGCCAGAACTGCGACATGGCGCCGGGTATTATGATGGACCATCACGTGTCCAGGAACAGTGGCGAAGGCGGCGGCGAGAGTAGCGTTGGTAGTGTCAGTTCGTTCGACACCAAAATGGAAGACGACTCGCGCAGCAACGAAGACGTCGTCTTGCAAATGCAACCGATCAAACGGGAACCGCTGTCTTCGGCGGTAACTAAAACCGAACACATGCAACAAGTGGTGTCCGGCGGGAAGAAAGGTGCGAAAGACGGTGGCGCGGCCCGTTTGATGGGTATGATATCGCCGGACTTGGGAAAAACGCTCAAAGCCAGCGGCGGTACGTCTGCGCCGTCGGTAGGCAGCCTAACGCCGTCCACGCCCGAAACGCCGTCCACCGCTTTGTCCAGTCCGCTCGGAGCGGCCGCCATGTACCAGCAACAGCAACAGCTGGAACACGCAACGTCAACTTCGCCGGCGGCCGGACCTCCCGCCAAATCTCCTTATGGACGAAACGAGTACAGACAGCAACAATACGGAGCTAAACAACAGCACAACAGTTTTGGTAAAGACTGTTATTTGTCGCAGTATCCGACTTCTCAAAATCGGTGGTACATGTCACCTGAAAATCCGTCACCTCCGTCTTCGTACAAGACGGCAAAGTTGGCCGGCGCCGGTGTGCAAAGTCCTGTCACTCGGACCCAAACGGCACACTGTCGTCAGCAATATCAAAACTATGCCACTTCGGCGGTCGCTGCTGCAGCGCAATACTGTAACGGGTACAGCGGTTATCAACCGTCGGCCGGTGATGCATACCAGCAACAGACGGCCAGTTACAATCACGGCAGGCAAACCGCGTATCAGCACCAACAGCAACATCACCAACATCCTGCTGCGGTCGGTTACGGCGGAACAGATGATTATCACCACGTCAGCTATGCGGGTATTTATCAAGCGAGTAGCCAAGGCTATGCCAATGGACACCATCACCATGGACATCACCATCAATCGCAACAGCAGCAGCAGCACCACCACCAACAACAACAACAACACGATACCAACTCCGCACCCTTGTACAACAATATGGATTATCATCATCAACAAGGCGGGCGATACAAAACTGCCGTCGGAGGACATCAGTATTATGACCCGGCGACGGCCACGGTCCCCGTTGGCGCCGTCCCCGCGGAAATCGACACGACCAACGCCACTTTCGTCGACCAGTTTCACGCACATAATTCGTCCGTCACGATGACCCCTCCAAACAGTGTGCGCACCGCCGATTCGTCTGGCGATCAATTCAATAGTTTTCATCACTTTTACAATAACAACAACAACAACAACAGTAGCGGCGTTGTTGAACAGCTATGCCATCCTCAACAGCAACAGGGCGGCGGAGTGGTTCCTCCGGCTGTCATGCCCATCAACCATCACGGTCCGCCGCACCACGGCGTCCACGGGGCAGACAACAGCAATAGCTCGTCCGATTTCAACTTTCTCAGCAATTTGGCCAACGAGTTCGTTCCTGAATATTATCAGCTCAGCTGAAATTTACACAATCACTAAAATCAAGAGCTGTAAGTGTTCACTGAGAAAAAAATTAGAAAAACCCAGCGAGAATACAAAAATATAACAGGACGTTGTTGTATTTGTTTATTTTAATCAGAATTATAGTATCGTGAGAGCAAATGTGTTACGTTGTTTTTCTAGTGTCGTTAACCACAATATTATCTCTTCGCAATTAATATAATGTTATTCAGCTCTAATTAAATGCTTCTTATCACTATCAAACGACTAGAATGAAAGTTATGCTGACAACTGTATTTTAATGGATTACACGATATATTTACAGTGCGTACTAAATGATGATACTCGAAAAAAACTAATAAACCACAATTTTCAATTGAATGTTTTAGTTTTCCTATGTTGAATTTGGGTTAGACCGTTTTGTTTTGGATTCGCTGCAATTTCATTTATTATTATTTTTTGTTATATATACATTTATTTATAGTATCATTACTTCAGCAATAAGTTTTAATATTCGTTTTAGAAATTTATTGTATAAAGTATAGACAATTTTTTTTCAAATATCGCTGCACCGCAAAAAGTTATCTTAATGAAAAATACTTGTACATTTTCTACTGATAAACTGCTAATTTGCAGAATTGAGACGAGTAACTTATTAATTTTTTTTCAATTACAAATAATTGGTCACTATTATTTATGTTCAATGTCTAGACTTGATTTAGTTGAACGAAATAAAAATGTTCAGTTAATTGAATCAAGTCTTTGTTGAACGTTTTTTGGCTCAGCTCTGTAGTTCAATGTAATTAATTTTATGATAATTTATTGTTTAATATTATTTGTATAAATCGCGTTAAATATATATATATATATAATTACTATTATTTCTTGTACAGAATAATTAATATTATAAATAAAATTATTAGAAATTGTTGTCGTATATATAATAAAATATTATCGTCGCGTTTTTTTCAATATTATTATTTTAAATAGTTTCTACGGCATGCGCTCTCTTACCATGGAGATTGCAATGCATACGGAAAATAATCAATTGAAGTTATGTATATTATTGTGTTATGTATAAAAATAGTAGATAGTAACTTGTATTGTGATGCCGTCGAATAAAACGATGTAAAGAAAATTGTTGCAAAATGTACGACGCGATTATGGACACGGTTGCAATATTTTTTTGAATTATTATAAATTATTATTAAATATCGCTGCTATATTATAATTATTAAACTAACAATATTGTAGTTCACTTATTATTGAAAAATATAAATTTGACAAGAATAAAAAAAGCGTATTTGGTTTATGTAGAGTGTATATATGTGTGATTTCGGCGTACATAAAAATTCCTACTGAATTCATTATTAAGGGGGCCCTAAATTCGAGGTCCCTAACCGAATTATGGTTTTCCTCTATGTCTGTACAAAAAGTATTATGTGATAGAGAATCATCTTGTTGTCAGAAAACAGCAACTCGTGTCAAGATAGAGAGACAATATATGTGAGCAGTGTACATACCTAATTGTATTTTATTTGAAATCTATATAGCCATACTGTTAATCCAAAATATAAATTTAGCGAATTAAACTTGCATTGTCCAGTGGGTAATGCGAACTTTTCATTATTCTGTTATGATAATTGCACAGTGGCATGACCAGTGTTTTGCTTAGGGAGGGCCAAGGAATATTTTTTTTTGCTTAATTATAGTTACTAGCTCTAAATTGTTATACTGTTAATAGTAATAATTGACCAATTGACTATGGTCAGTTTGGCCAGTCTTTACTACATCACTGTAATTGCATCTATTGATAAGAGAGCAATCCAACTAATATTTCAAGTCATTTTATATTAGTGTAAACAATTTTGCTGCTCTTTGACATTTGGCGTAGGTCTTAACACTTTATCTAAAAACATTGTTTTAAATGAAAAACTTTTTTTAAGAACAGTCGGTAAATTTTCAAATAATCGCATTAGTAATAGTTATTTTATTATTAACCAGTTTTTTTTTTGTAATAGAACGATTAAATGTTAAACGTGTTTGTGTTTCTGTAACTTCCAAGAAAAGAAACGACCTCCAAGTTAAATGATGTCAACGCGATCGACGTACGTTATTTATTTGCGATTACTTCAATCAAGTTTCTTATCGAGAATATTTGTGATACAATCATTATTTTTCGAAAAATTGCCGGTTGGTGAATTATGTTACACTCTGTAACAAAAAAATATCGATAATGTCAGCTGACGCAGTTGTGTAGAAACGATTTTACAATAGTTGAACCGTATTGTTCGTGTTTTTTGTACCCACAGAAAATCTAACATTTTGTTTAATAAATAATTAACACGATATTTAATAGCGATTTAGGAGGAATGATCAAGGCACACGATCATCGTTCTCACGAGTAACACCAGTGTTGTTTCGGTAAGATAAATCCAATTGGTATTTTTCACTATAGTGACGTAGTTGAACATTTTGCTTTGTACCGTACGAGTTCTTCAATACGTCGTTTATGAATGATACGGAGGACTCCCCTTCGCTTTGGTTTTTTTAACGCGAAGTAACCCGACGTCATTATTTCCTGAATCGTTTTGTTTCTCTTCAATCAAAACCATCGACAGCGCGTTGTGTCTATAACGAATAAAAATATTTACAGTCTTATCGAATTCGATGAATCATATGGACAGTTGTCACTAATTTGTCCAACAAAATAATCGCATTGTCCGAGCGCTTCAAAAACGATTAAAAAAAGTCCACGAGAGTTTATTTTCAAGTGTCCGTTGTTTGTTAATTCTATTTTCAAAAAACATACGGAACGGCGTAGGGGACGTGCTGACGATGACATCTTCGGGTTGTTTAAAGATGCTCTAAAAAAAAAGCATAAGTGAGTGCGCGTATCGATTGGCGGCAAGATTAGGTCAATGGGTTGTGTGCCTTACAATGTCATTATTGTGTAAAAACGTATATATTAAAACAGAGAGAGAGAGAGAGAGAGACGGCCACCTCGGCGGATGTATCGCAAATAGTACACGGTGCTGTAACACACAGCAATATGTCACGGGATTTTGATTAATGGCCGTCGGACGGCCCCGTTTCACCCTTAACTTTTTTTTTTCTCTCCGTTTGCCACCCTTCTTGGTGGTGCTCGCCGCCGAAGGGTCTTTTTTCGGTGGATCGCGTCCCGGTCGTGTGAGTGCGTGTACGCGGCCATCACGTTCGACGTGTTCGCTCGACGCGCAGCACCCAAAGGACTGTTTTACTGGCACGTTTATAATATGCGCCGCACACGTCGGCGGTCATTAAATTTGGCCGACAAGTATTGAAAAAAAATCGCTGCGAGTAAATAATACGAAGAGGTCCACGTAAAATCAATTAGTCGACGAACAATTTTTTTCAATGGGATGTCAAGTATATATATATATGTATAATTAGCATATAAAGTATTTTTTCATTCGGATATATTTAATTACAATGAAGAAGAGTATTTACTTAGGCGTCGTCTGAGAGATTTTGCGCTTTATTATCAGTGCACAATTATAATTAACCAATTATATCTCGCAGCGATGCTTAGTCAAAGACGGCACTGCACATTTTTCTAATGAGCGTGTTTTCCATACGTTTGTGGCAATTTTGTGATTATGGTCAGTATTTTGAGAATTATTTCAAATATATTTGTGATGTATTCGCTGCATTTCAGTATGAGTATTTAACTGGTAGAATACTTGAGTATGTATTGTTTATATTTTTTCATGTTATATTCCCGTCTATAATTGTAATACTTTTTTCAAGTGTATCTTACAGTTTTTGGTATTGATAAATACATTGCGATTGATTAACTAAGCATCGCGCAATAACTACAAAAATATAATACATAATTAAATATTTCAAGTTCTATATTTTCAAAAATAATTTTCTGCTATTCCCCTCTGCATTCCTCAAAGTACTCAAAGTATTTAAAATTTTAAAAGGTCTGTGGGTACTTATTGAAAAAAAATATTTTTTAAAACAATCTCAAAATGAACGACGAAGATGATTTTAATTAATCAAATAAGACGCTATTAATACAAAACACTCTAATAATAAAAAACCAAAAAAATCATACAAAATTCTTAAGAGGAAATAGATGATTTACGTAATTATTTGACATAAAATTTTACATGCTCAACATTAAATTTTTTGTATTAAATAAGAAAAAAAAAGTACTAAAATGATAAATTTTATACTTTTTTAACAACAAAGACTTTATATTTACTTAAACACAAAAACGTGGGTGTATAAACAAAGTCATTCAAAAATATTTAAAAATTTTCGGGCTCCGATTCCCTTGGCATTCGTTCAAACTGGCAAAAAGTAATTTTTTATTTCAATGTTCCTCACCTCGCCTAGTTTATACTTTACGTGGCATATTTTGCCCGCCACTTATAACTTTAAAGGGTTTAAAATGATGTTTTTCCTCCAGAATTACATATTTGTTCAAGATGTTGATTTTTTATTTGTATTTTCGCAGTGCCCGACCGTAAAACATTTGCGTGCATTAATATTTACTATATACGCGTTTTATATATAAATGTAAACGATATCGCGATTGTCAATCAAGCCACGAGGAGATATCTCTAAGAGTGGGAAACAATGTCTTGTCGTGGGAGCTTTTACTTACAGAGAGTAAAAAAACGAAGACAAGAAAGACGAGGGGCGAAAACGGTGTACGTCCCTCAGTCGATCGACGAGTTTTTCCAAACGAGAAACTTTTAGACGTGCTTTGGTGGGATTACACTTCTAATTTCTTTTTCCGTTTCCCTCTTTAATCGCCACCACGTGAACAGAGTACCTTTCACGGATGTGACTGTTTTTTTTTTCTATCTATGCGCACTTCTTTCTTATTACTCGCTAGCAAACGATAGGATAGCATATATCCCCGTGACTTCGTTTCACCACCTCCTCGTCAGCACCGTCAACCCTCTTGTCAAAATATCCGTTTCGAGACGAGACAGTCAACTAAGAATGGCTTCCTGTCAAGTCGCCTTGGGGCGAAAACTCGGTTACGTTTTTGTTTCCATTTCGTTTAATGTCAGAAAATTCGGTTCACAACAGTTTATTTTGATCGACTGAAAGTTTCACTTGGTTTCTATATGAACTAGTTGAATATTTTTGGAAAAAGTAATATACATTTAAAATATATCCCGAAACAAAATAGTATTTTAGCCTACCAAATTAGTTAAATAAAATATGGAAAAATCAACATAAATTCACAAAAAAAATTAAAATGTAGCACCTCTTTGGGAAAATTTGTGCGATGACTACATTTTTAATTAACAAAAAAACATTCATTAAAAATAATATTGATTATTAAATTTACTTCAATCCCCCTCCCCCCGATTAAAATAATTATGTTCGTGAGTCAGAAAGGGTAAGATAAAACATTGCCATCGTAAATACAACCCTTATACATTCAATAGTTTGTTAAAATAGATTTCTTTAATTATTGAATGGTAAATGACAGTTAAGTCACAAGTTCTGTGTAGGCAACCTAATCGTCAAAGGTAAAATGACGTTCGGTTGTGGTCGAAAAAGAAAATCGTTAAAACGGTACCAGGAAATCAGAAGAAACGAAATTTTAACAGTTGATAAAAGAAGTGGTGTCAGTGCCATAAATAATGACAATCTTTCATGTACTTTCGTTGATGTCGCAAGACTGCGATGGCGTCTGTAGACGATGGTAGTCATGCACGACTATCAGAATATTGGTGTGCACCAACTGGTTATGTCGTAGCGTTACCGGACACCGCAACTATTATTAACGCACATCTTGTTAATAACTTTAATTTTTAAATTAGCAAAAAAAAAATTATTATAATGCAATTCTATATAACATACATTTATTTATTTTAAAAAAGGTAACTTTTTCGATTAACAATTATTATTGCAATTTTCTTATGCTATCGTGCAAAGAGGAGATTGGAAAAC